GCAAATCAATCAATGTAATACACCACATTAACAAATTGAAAGATAAAAACCATATGATTATCTCAATAGATGCAGAAAAAGCCTTTGACAAAATTCAACATCCATTTATGATTAAAAAAAAAAAATCCTCCAGAAAGCAGGCATAGATGGAACAAACCTCAACATAATAAAAGCCATATATGATAAGCCCACAGGATACATTATCCTCAATGGTGAATTGAAGCATTTCCCCTAAAGTCAGGAACAAGACAAGGGTGCCCATTCTCACGTTCTATTCAACATAGTTTTGGAAGTTTTAGCCACAGCAATCAAGAGGAGAAAAAGAAATAAAAGGAATCCATATTGGAAAAGAAGAAGTAAAACTCTCACTGTGTGCAGATGACATGATCCTCTACATGGAAAACCCTAAAGACCACCAGAAAATTACTAAAGCTAATCAATGAATATAGTAAAGTTGTAGGATATAAAATTAATACACAGAACTCCCTTGCATTCCTACACACTAACAATGAGAGAACAGAAAGAGAAATTAAGGAAACAATTCCATTCACCATTGCAATGAAAAGAATAAGATACTTAGGAATAAATCTACCTAAAGAAACAAAAGACCTATATATAGAAAACTATAAAACACTGATGAAAGAAATCAAAGATGACACAAATAGATGGAGAAATATACATATTATTGAGTATCCAGGAGAGATACTTAGGACCTCTTGATGAACTTATAAGCTGTATATGTGTTATCTTCCTATTAAATGGTCAAGATAGTTTGATTATTTAGTAAAAATAGCACAGAAATCGTAAGATCAGGAGCATATATAATCTCAACAGCTATGAGGTTTATATAGCTATTGATAGAAATATTTTAATAATAATAGCTAAGACATGTGTAATGTTTATTATATGTCAGGCATTATTCTGAGAGTTTTACATTCATTAACACATTGAATCCATACACAGACAAAATCCATAATAATAACTTCATAAGTATGATGCCAGCTATTACTGTCCACATATTATAGATTAGTAAAATGAACAACAAGATTTATAGTGTGTTCAAGGTCACATTGATAACAAGTAGTGGTTTTGGGACTTGAGCTTGTGCATTCCATTTCCAGAGTTCTTTTAACCACTATGACAGTGGTCAAAGACACATAAGCAACAAAAGAACCATAAAATAAACCAAACTGAAGGAAAACAAGTGCACAGATACAGAAAACAGAGTAGTATTTACACAAAAGGAAGGGAAAGGGGGAGAGGGTGAAATGGGCTAAAGGGGTTAACTGTATGGTGACAAATAGAAACTGAACTTTTGATGGTGAGCAAGCTGATGATTGTACAGAAGTTGAATTATAATTTTATATGCATGAAGCCTACATTGTATCAGTATTATAAACTATGTCACCTCAATAATATTTATAATTATTTTTTTAAAAGACACAGAAGAGGTAAACATTTCAACCTGCAGGGGAGGTGTATGGGAATGAGGTGTATGTGTATGTGAAAAAAAGGTTTTAAAAAACACTTTGATTTTAGGTTATGTACCAAACAAAGACGTGCAGAAACAGAAAGAGAACATGCTAAGGAAAAGGATTTAGAAAATTGTACAGTGATGCCTTGAACTTTGTACGAGTCAGTGGAGTATGAATTACACAGACAAGTGTGATCAAATATTTGATGGAAACTTCCTGATGCAGATAACCTGGTAATGATGGAAATGTGGAAAAAACAACTTGCAGGAAGATTACTACTTCTGTGTCAAGTATTTTCTGCATAAAATACTTGAATACTTTCAGTTTCAAAATTGAAGATTACTCAGAAGCTTCTTGCCATACAGAAAAAAAAAATGATGCTGCAAAGTTTTACCAGTCCTATTTATGATAAAGTGAGAATAAAACCAGTGAATGGTATGTATAAAGAAATTTGGTTTGAGAGTGACAGAAGACATTATCAACTCACAGGAAGCACAGTAAGATTTGCAAATGACTAGAAAATCTCACAACCTTCCAAACCAGTTCTGGTAATCCAGAGGACACACAGGTGAATTGGAGAGTCCACAGGTATATCTACAACTTTTTATGAGTCTATAACAGGGACTCTGACTTTCTTACAAGAGTAGGACGCTTTGAGAACTTGATTGGTTTTCAAGCCAAGTGATTATTATAACAAAGTATAGTTTATAACTGTGGATGGGGTGAAGTCTTAACCTAGCCTGAGAGTAATCACTGATATCCTCTATATACCTACAGGGTGACCTAGATGACTTTATACAGCTCTTAAGTGACACTCATATGAACCTGGTATCCTCACAAGGGCAAAAAGTGGTTGTATTTGCATCTTTTCCTTGTTGAAGTAGGAAGTTTCCCCTTTCTTTTAAATTCGGGAAAAAAGCAGTAACTTTTTATATTGTACACTTTTTCTTGTTAAAATTTAAGATGGTTGTTGTTCAGCTTTGTGGGTATTTTTACATTGGGCTGTGTCTGGCATATCTCTAGGGTTTTCAGAAACTTAAGCAGTTTTTCTTAACTCTGAGAGCTATTTCATTTTGTGAGCTAATTACATTAAGAACTAAAGTTGAAGAAGTTACATCTTATAGCTTTATAACTTTTTGCACTTTCTACTTTGGGAATTGACTTTAAGTGATAGTGGCACAATCATGGTGGGTAAACTTAGTGCAGTGGCATTTGATGTATGTGAGTCAATGGAAGAAGGACAGACAGTGATATCACTGCATTTGAATATAAATATATAGTGATAACACCATGTAATCCCCACTGATATCAAGAAATAAAGAATTGCCAGGAACTTGTAGGAAATTTCTGCATGTTGCTTCCAAAGTACAGCCATTCTCTTCCCCATAGGTGACCACTATGCTGACCTGTGTAATAATTCACTTTTTAATGCCAGTGGTTCTCATAGTATGGTCTGGCATCCACATCATCTGGGAATTTGTTAGAGATGAAAATTCTTGGCGTCTTTTCCAGACCTAATACACTTACACATTTTTGTAGAATGTATATTTATTATGATTAAACTATGAAGCATTGATTCTCAAACTTGAGCATAAATCAGAATAACCTGGGTGGCACATTAAGACACAGATCCTGGATCCTACACTTAAAGTTTCTGATGATATCTTTCTGTTTAATTCACCAATTTTAATTTTCCTGTGTGCTGGATATATTTGACTCTGTGCTAGTCATTGCACTTGAAAGGTTATTTTCTAGGAAGAATGGTGAGACTTGTAATGAGAATACTTTGCTCCAAATTGAGTATTTGTGTTTACTTCTGCCAGGCACCTAGGGGCACTACCTGTCTGGGACCACCTGTTCAAAGTTTGCTGTTTCCTGGATAACTCAAGGGATTGTTGCTTTGTTTTAATTCTCACTTTGTTTTAATTCCCTTCCCATTAATTCCATTTCTGTTCACCTTCACTCTGAGATCCTGGAACCCAGATTGTTGTAGGGGAAGGTCTCTTGTCAGACTCTCCTACTTGCATGGACTCAGAGTTTAGTTTTCTATCCCCTTCTACATCCTGAAAGGCTGTCAGAGTAGAGGTTCTAGTTTTCTGGGATTATCTTCAGGAGTGTTTACTTCTCTAGATTGTTGACTTCTCTTTACTTTTGCCTGATAATTCCTTACTATTTTATAATCTCTTTGATGTTTTTAAAAAGATTATTTCAAATATATTTTATCCAGCTTTTTAGTTGTTTTCAGCTGTAGGCCTAATTCAAACAGCCTGAACCATCATTAGCAGAAACGGGAAATCTGGAAAATACATTCGTAACGCACAGCAGTTTATCAAAATACTGTGGTTTTTCAAAACATTAAAAAATATATGGATGTTGAGGCCCTTAAGAAAAGGCTTCTGTTTTTAGCTTATACCTTTATCCAGACATGGGACACACAAGATGATTTTGATACAGAAACTCTTCTTGTGAAAAGATTCCCAGGGTTTCATATTTATGACCATTAACCACTCCAAACTGCTCTTATTTTTACTAGTGGGTTCCAAGGAATGCTTCCCACAATTCAAAAAGCCTCACAAAATGCAGAGATGTGCCTAGTACAGGATCTATTTAACAGTTCATGGCACTTTCTTTGAGGTTTGATTTTTCCATAGCTTTAACAAGTCTGGAGACATGAAATTTGGGAAGCATAAATGATTTACACTCTTATCCCTAGGAAAGTTTCTGTTTGTGATAGCACATAGAGTGTCCCAAACTATTTACTGTCAAGTTCTAATAATTTGATAGATAATATTTTAACCACCTCCCTACCCCCTCCAAAAATATGTCACATCATCTCTTTTTCCTATGTCAGGTTGATCCCTTGAGGTAGACAAGATTCTCAATGAGAAAATACCTCTTCCCAACCTGTTCCTGATGACTCAGACCACCTGCTTTCTGGGCAAGGATGAGTCTGTTATATTTATCTTTAGATATCTTTTGAAGGAGACTGGAAATAGGAATACACTACTCCTGCATTTGACCAAGTGCTCATGCCTGTTCCCCTCAGCTCAGACTCAAGAGAAGCATATATAGATGGGATTGGGGACTATGGTTAGGACAGGGACAGCATGGACCAGGAAGTGTCTTCAGGACTTAGGGAATGGATCATTTCTGTAACAGCTCCAGTTAAATGACCTGACTATAGTTAATCCTGTTCCTTGACCTTTGGAAGGTAAGCTGGTAGGCTTTTCAGAGGTCAGAAGTTGTTATAATTTGGTGAGATACTTGAGTACTCTGCTGCTGCTAAGTCGCTTCAGTCGTGTCCGACCCTGTGCGACCCCATAGACAGCAGCCCACCAGGCTCTGCTGTCCCTGGGATTCTCAAGGCAAGAACACTGGAGCGGGTTGCCATTTCCTTCTCCTATGCATGAAAGTGAAAAATGAAAGTGAAGTCGCTCAGTCGTGTCTGACTCTTCACGACCCCATGGACTGCAGCCTACCAGGCTCCTCCGTCCATGGGGTTTTTCCAGGCAAGAGTACTGGAGTGGGGTGCCATTGCCTTCTCCGACTTGAGTACTCTAATTAGTGTGTAATAGTTAGGATTTATAATCATCCCTGTAGGCTAGGCTTGGGCAAGAATGAGCAAACTCTGACAGTTATTTCTAGAGTCCTTCAAGGATGCTTGGCAGTCACTTGATGAATTCCAGGATTCCCTGAAAGCAGTAATGATTGACTGTGGTAAGAGCCCATGACCCCTGGAAGATTGTGAGTCAGGATAAGTGTCAGAACTTAAACCTGACAGTAGCAAGAATTAGCTTATCTCAGATGAAGGCTATAACTCAACTAGCTAGAACAGAGAATGCCTTAAAGTAGTAGGACAGGTGCTGCTCCCCAGTGCCTTTCTTTTCTCTCCTTAAGATATGCCCTGAATCTGTGGGTTTATGGGACTAATGCAGGATGGGAATCCCACCAGATTACAGGGTCACTGAGTCTCTTCAATTTGTTTCTTTATCAGTTTAGAGGGTGATGTCATTGATAGATAAACCAGTAAATCTGTACTCTAGCTACCTTGTTACGCGACCCAAAGTTCATGTTTTGAATACCGACCTTCAAACTGAACCAAATAATATAGAAACTCTCCAGTTCAGAGCTACACATAACAAGGGACCTTTCCAGAGGGCTTTTGTAGCCATGGACTTCTTAAATTACAAGTCATGATCCACCCCTTATTTGATAACTTTTCTCTAGACCAATACAGTGACTCCAGATCAATATGCTGCCATTGCTTTCATAGAACTCATCACATAAAAATAGAAATATTTATTTCACAAATAATAAATTTCCTTAATATAAATCCCCAGTTTATTACAAGGAATAGAGAGCCAGGACCACACGAAATTCACTTACTTTAGCCATTTCCTTATGGATATATCTTACTGAATCCCATGTGTTTTGGGAATTGTCTGGGATTTAGGTATTTTCCCTGTTTAATAGCACATGGTCCTTCTTCCTTCCGAATATAATATTAAGAAGATGTGGTTTTAGACCTCTATATATCTTATGGCTACCGTTTCTCCAGCATTCAGTCCAGTTCAGTCACTCAGTCATGTCTGACTCTTTGCGATCCCGTGGACTGCAGCACGCCAGGCCTGCCTGTCCATCACCAACTCCTGGAGCTTGCTCAACTCATGTCCATTGAGTAAGTGATGCCTTGATGCAAGTCTTCGGCATTAGGGTTATATATGTGTGTGTGTCTGTATATATATATATATGTGTGTGTGTGTGTGTGTGTCTGTGTGTGTAGCTTTATCACAGATCTCTATTGCTTTGTTAATCTAAACTTTGGAAATTATAAACTCTGTTTTGGATCCTAATAAGGATTTGGGGGAGCCACCTAGCTGCTCCCAATGCTGGTCTAGTGAGTCCCGCATAGCAGCTCCTACTGTATTTCACAGGCAGCTGTTGGATTGGTCCTCATATCCAACAGGTAGAAGAATTAGGAGTGGGGCTACACTTTTTGCCAAAACCCAGAGTCCAATTTTTGGTACTTAATATGGGTGTTATAGGATAAGATCTTTATAAACATCCTTGATATTACAAGTGCTAGTGCCTATTCCCTTTAGCTCAGACTCAAGAAAAGAGTATATAGTTAGGGTTGGGGACTATGCTTAGGACAGGGACAGCAGGGACCAGGAAGTGTCCTCAGGGTTTGGGGAATGTATCATTTCTGTAACAGCTCCAGTTAAATGACCAACTACAGTTAACCCTGTTCCAGCTGATAGAGATTTCATAAGTCTAGTGTGCCCCCATCCTCACTTGTGTCTTCTCTTTTAACTACAGTAGGGCCTTCATGATCACTTTTAAATTTAGCCTTTACATAAGCTATACCGGTTCTGAAATTTGCCTGGGTTTTTACTTGGCATGATATGATTTCCCATCCTTCATTTGTTCTGATATGAAGTATGGATCTTCACAGTTGAGATCTGTATTATTCTATATATGCAGCCTCTACACTAATTAGATAACTTGGCATATTGACAGATAATATGCAATTTAATCTTTTGAGGAAAGTCAGTTATCACAGGTGTTCTGAATTACATAAGATGTCTAGTGTGATCATTCTTTCAAGACAGAGTTGCTGTCATAACCAGTGCTATTGTGTTAGAATTAGGACCTCTAGCTTATGGCTATAATCTTATTTAAATTGGTATTATAGCCAGACCTTCTAGAATTTATCTTTACTATCTCCTATCTTAATGTGGGTTACAGATAATCTCTTTGAATTTTTTCCATAAAGCGTTAGCTCCAGCTAACAGCTATGTGTTATTGATATTGAACTTTTGGCAACACTAGGCCAGGGCTCCTAATTCAAGAGTCCCCAGACTCTTGGTGCTCATCCACTTTACTAGGGACTACTACATGGAATAATACAATAAATACACTTTTCCTACTGCACATCTTTGTGTAACTACTGTGAAGTTTTCATTGAGAAGACTTTCAACTGAGGATGATCTCAAGAACCCTAGGAAGCACAACCAGTGTTCTCAAGGAAGGGAGTGGCCCTCTCATTGGTTTTGGTGGCCATCCGGCTGATTTCTTCTCTCGCATCCTTCCAAGCTTTTTCTGAATGGCTGGAGAGGATTAGCCAATGGTACAAATTGTTATGGAAGGAATGGTAAAATCATCCAAAGAGTATATCTGAGTCAGTTAGATGCTTTCTATAGCTGTCCAACGTCATCACTTGGTAGCCAAGAGTGAACCGTGATAGGCAGTTGAAGATGCTCTTTTGTATATGGAGAAAAGGAGACGGTGGAGCAAATACAGTAGTAAGTCTCTTCTTTCTTTACTACCCATTCAGTAGACATACGGGTCATGGTGGAGACTTCTGGCAAAACGTGGTCCACTGTAAAAGGAATGGCAAACCACTTCAGCATTCTTACCTTGAGAACCCCATAAACAGTATGAAAAGGCAAAAAGATAATGACACTGAAAGATAAACTCCCCGTCAGTAGGTGCCCAATATGCTACTGGAGAAAAACAGCAAAATAGTTCCAGAAGGAATGAAAAAACTAAGCTAAAGCAGAAACAGTGCCCACCTGTGGATGTGTCTGGTGGTGAAAGTAAAGTCCAATTCTGCAAAGAACAATATTNTAGTTAAAGCTATGGTTTTTCCAGTAGTCATGTATGGATGTGAGAGTCCTCCTATAAAGAGGGCTGAGTACCAAAGAACTGATGCTTTTGAACCATGGTTTTGGAGAAGACTTGAGAGCCCCTTGGACTGCAGGGAAATCAAACCAGTCAATCCTAAAGGAAATCAACCCTGAATATTAATTGGAACGACTGATGTTGAGGCTCCAAAACTTTGGCCACCTGATGTGAAGAGCCAACTTACTGGAAAAGACCCTGATGCTGGGAAAGATAGAAAGCAGGAGGAGAAGGGGATGACAGAGGACAAGATAGTTGGATGGCATCACCTACTCAGTAGACATGAGTTTGAGCAAGCTTCAGGAGATGGTGAAGGACAGGGAAGCCTGGCATGCTGCAGTCCACAGGGTTGAAGGAGTCAGACACGACTGAGCAACTGAACAACAGAGTTTCCAGGCCTGTTTGTTGTTACGTCTGTTAGCTTGTAGACTCCTGGAGGGATCCCTGTGACTTGTTTTCCATGAAACATTTGTGTTTCAACCAACCCCGCTCTATACCCCACCCTATGTACCTGCAAGTCTGTTACCTGAACAAAAAACCTCCTGTTCCCAAGTGTTTTCAGTGCGGAAAGTATTCTGGTCTGAGGATGTTGGCCTCCCCACTCAGGCATTTTTCTCAGACTTGTCTGAAGTTTGGGTATTAGGGTTGAAGAGCAGACAGTGAGGTTGGCAATCTCTATTCCTTTGCTTGGTATTTCCTTACCACGGCATTCATAGATTGCCCATCAATTTGGACTTTTTGTACCCTACCTTTTAATAGCCAGACCAATACGTCTTTCTGTCTTTCTACTGAAAACTACTTCTTTTTCTTTTTTACATTTCCCTCCATTTTCCTTTGGTTATTTTGGGAACTGAAATTCCCAGAAGTATTCCTAAGCCATCTTTTCTAAAACTGTGTATAGGAGAGACTGCTAGTTAACTACTCCTTTATTTTTTTTCTTCTTTATTAACAGAATCCTGATTTGCATGGTGGTGACAATGTGCTCAGCTAAAAAATCACGTTGTCCACCCTCCGCCACTGATAAGGATGACAGGGTGATGCAGTTCTTGTCATGAGGTATAACTAACGGTAGGGCAGGGTTTCTAGTAAAGTTCCTTAAAAGAGAGCTTTAAGGCGTGGCCTTAGACATTTGCCCTATTGCCCTAATATCTTCCCCTTCTTTCTACCTGCATCTTAGAGGAGATGCTGGGCATAGAACAGACATCTAGCAACAAGATGACCATAGGAGGAAAGCCAAGCAAATAACTTGGGGTCACATCTGAAAAGGCTGGATTAACAAGCAGATAGGTGTTATGTGTGAATTTGGACAGACTTCATAATTTCTGTGCCCTGCCACCACACTTACCACCTTAGGGTTGGGGAGAAAAGTCCTTTTGTCACAACATATCCATAAGGCTCACATATCTCTAACATCATTTACAGTAAGACTGTGTTGCCATAATTTACTCTCACCATCTGAGACCTAGACTTCTTTTTCCTCTAAATCCATTAAAAGTAATTATTTGGCCTCTTAAACCCAAGTTCAGAAGATAACATTAGTGGGAGGTCTAAGATCCTCCAGTGGAGTGGTAGCACACAGTTTGAAAGAAGTTCAATAGATAGAAAGTTAGTCGATTTTGAGAATTAGATTTTCAAAAGAAGATTAATATCCATAGGCACTGGGTTTTAAAATGGTAATATAAACATACCATGAGGTGGTCCTACAACACATTACCAGTTTTAAACGTATATATTTGTATTTTAAGTTTTATGGAGGTAAATTACTTTCCTTTTAGATTCCTATGTGTTATCAACCAGCTATTTGTGTTTCATATTTTTAATAGTGGAACATTAGAACAGATTTAAGATCTCCAAATATAAAAAGTTATTGTGACAACTTATAAAGTTCCCCCAAAATTTGTGTATTAAGAATTGTAGTTATAAAATTGTATCTATAAATGTTTCAGTTTGTAGAAAGATAATTTCTGTGTGTACATGTATGTTCTCTAGGAAGATATTGTATCAAGTTGTTAGTTTCTTTCTAGATAAATAAGATGATAGCTTTTTAGTGTTATCCAATTTTTCTGTAGTAAGTTTACTTTTTTCATAAGAACAATTTTTTTAAGATAAGGAAAGCTTCCTCATGATAGATAGTTAACAAGAGAAGCAGAAGAATGTTGCTGAGAAATGAAGAGCAGGAAGAAATCAGAAACTGCAGGAACTGAGGGGCATTTACTTCTGTTGCTGAGACAGCATAAGAGCTTCGATGACTGAGATTGCTGAGGCTCAAGAACTGCTCCTGAGTTGCCGTGGGATCTGCGTGGCGAGGAGATGAGCCCTGACTGTAATGCCAGGGATGCTCCTTCTTGTCTGTTTTTACTTCTTCATGTTACCTTCTCCCATCCCATGTTAACGTGCCTCTCTGATCCTTCAAAACTGTACTTTCATTTATTCAATAAACACTAGAATCCAGATTATATGCCAAACCCCTAACTAATGCTGAGAATATACCAGTGAGCCAAACAGAGCTTCATGGAATTAATGTTGATGGGGGGGGGGGGGCAGATGCTAACCAGAACTTACAAGTGTATAGATTGGGATAGAATGGGACAAGGACTATGGAAGAAAAGAACAGGCTGCAAGGAGATAGAGTTATTGGGCAAGAGGGGAGACTCACATTATGCAGTCAATATGCCAGTCAGAACTCAGTTTAAGTTGAGAACTGTAGCAAGGACAAAGTCAGGTAAGTGGCTATTCTGGTGGGGGGAGGAGGTGTTTTAGATAGAGGAAACAGCATGTATGAATGCCTAAGCAGCAGTGAACCTCAGGAACCTAAGGAAGTGGGTGGCGAGAGCATCGAAAGTAAAGAGAGGGACTCTAGAGGAGCCTGCAGAGGTAAGTGATGCCAACTCACACAGGGCATTGTAAATTATGATAAAATTTTACCATTTTTTCCTAAGCAGTAAAACCCCTGGTAGGTTTTGAAGTGAAGAATACCTTAATCAGGTTAGTTTTCATAGTGGCTGTGGTGCAGCAGATAGATTGGAAGAAGAGACAAGGATGGGATTAAAAAAAGAAAAAAACAGGTAACTGATAATGTGTAAATATCACAGCAGTCAGTTAAGGCCCAGCCACAAATTCGATCATTTATATTGCTACTCTAGTTAAATGAGACAGTATTCAGAAGCAATTGTAGATGCTGACCCAAAATTTTTATCCTTGGCTAACTATTAGCAGTAGCAGTCTCTGCTTTGGAATTGGCTGCCCATCTCACTCTTCTCTGTAAGGGTCCCCATGTTTGCCATAGATAAATTTTGGGACAATGGTCATGTCTGAGTTGGAAACTTTTTGCTTTGTCCAAAGAACTAAAACCACAGTTATAAAAAGGATCAGAGAAATAATGAGCGCTTAGTAGGTACCAGACACTATAGTAGGCAGTGACATAATGGAGTGTGTAAATACAGGGTTCGTACCCTCGTGGGCTTCCCAGGAGGTGCTAGTGGTAAAGAACCTGTCTGCCAAAGCAGGTGATGTGAGAATTGCTAGTTTGATCCCTGGATCAACACAATCCCCTGGAGGAGGGCATGGCTACCCACTCCAGTGTTCTTGCCTGGAGAATCCCATGGGCAGAGGAGTCTGGTGGCCCACAGCCCATAGGGTCACAAAAAGTCCGACACGACTGAAGTGACTTAGCACACACACACACAAACTGATGGAACTAACTAAATAGAATGGGGAGAATATTCTTGCAGATGTAATTACAGACTATGAGATGAACACGTCTACTTGCCTTGTCAATTGCTAAACAAACCATGGATCCCACACTGAGGGCTATCTGATATGATTGTGCAATTGGAGTGTCACACAAAGATGCCTGGCCAAGGAGGTTAGTGGGGACAAAAGCTCTCAGAATTTCCCTTGCCAAGCCATGCCCTCTGCAGGGCTACATCTTTTCCAAAGGAATGGTATGTTTTTCCTCTGCGAATGTGTCAGTAACATCTCTTTCTGTAATATTAGGAGGGAATTCCCTCTTCTCAAAATTGAATGAGAGGCTCTACCTTGTGTGTGCCTGCCTCAAGCACAGAAATGCATCTGAGGTGAATGTAAAAGGTGTGAGTGGGTAGACAGAAAAAAAATGGAAAATAAAAAGCCCTGAGACATTGATATTTTTAAGACAATGTTTTTTGAAAAATGGATCCTACATCTGCAGGACTTAGAGCAATATCAAAGACCTAACAAAGTAGGTAAAGACAGTGGAGTAAAGAGCTGGACTGTGCATTAAAGCAGTGATTGCTACTGGGTTGAATGAACCTACAGGCATCACATTGGGAAAAGCTGTGGTGCTGGAAAGAGGAAAATGTTAGGTATCTCTGTGTCCTGAGCCTGGCTAATTGAACAAATCTTTGCTCCCAAATTTTAAAATGTTAGACACTGAAATCATGGACTCAGTTTGTGGGAATGGTCTTGCTTCTGGGAAGAATCTTGCCAGAATAAATCCAGAAACAAAAAGCAAAGAACAAGGAGACTGGTACCTTGAAGTCATGGTTTCTCCCAACAGTTGTATCATTTTGGACAACTGGAGCAGCCCTCTCAGACCCTTAGTATTTCATCTGAAAATTAGAGGCTACTTGTCTTGGTGGGTTGTGAATCTTGAAAGGTATTGAGATACTCTGTAAACTGGGGCAGTAAGGAGGATAAGTTTTTCATTAAATGCTGAGTTTCAGTGGCCTGGCTCTGAGCTGGGTTTAGTTGGCTGAGTGGGCAGAATCTCGACTTTGGAACAATGGTCTGTTTCTGAGTGGAGGTCTGGGCTGACTGCTGCCTGCACCAGAGGCTTTGACTACACTCTGGGATTGACAACTGAAAAACAATTTTAGTCATACAGATTCAGAACAGTAAGTTGCTTGACTCAGGTTATGTTTTGAGCATAGGCCATATGCCTTCTAATGGCATCTGTGGTTTAGGATCTTCTCTCCTTTTGAAGAGGCCCATAAAATGAGGTAACTCATGCACCACTGCCAACCTTAACAGAAGCCCTAGAGAGCTCCCTTCTCGGCTGCTGGTTTTTTGGGCATCTGCAACCTGCACAGGACTGGTCCACTGCTCCTCAGGCTCAATCCCTCACTTGCCTTCTTTGTCTTGACATATTTTCAGCTAATGAAGAGCATAGAGTGGCAAGAAAAGTAAAAGCATCTATCAGCTTTCCTCCTGCCCTTGTCAAAATGAAGTTTAATCCCTGTGTAACTTGTTACTAGAGCAAGAACCCTGAAAGGCATTTTAAGGCACCTCATACATTTGTAGGAAGATTCCCTTCCCCTTCCAAGTTGCTGAGACAGAAGTACAATGCTGAATCTATGCCATCTGAAAGAATATTGAAGTTCAGTTTGTGTGAGGGCACTACAAAGGTCATCAGATTGGCAAGGTGGTCCAGGTGATAGGAAGATGTGTCATCCACGTTGAACAAGTGCAGCAGGAGAAAGCTTATTTTGTGTAGATATTCACTACAGTAAAGTGGTTATCTGCTTTGGTGTTCTGCCTTCTTTACTGTCCAGCTCTCACAACTGTACGTGACCACTGGGAAGACTGTAGCCTTTACTATATGGACCTTTGTCAGCAGGGTAATGTCTCTGCTTTTCAACACACTACTTAGGTTTGTCATAGCTTTCCTGCCAAGAAGCAATTGTCTTCTGATTTCATGGTTGTCCACAGTAATTTTGAAGCCCAAGAGGAGGAAATCTGTCACTATTTCCACTTTCCACCTTTCCCCCTTTATTTGCCATGCAGTAGTGGGACCGGATGCCATGATCGTATTTTTTTCAATATTTAGTCTTAAACCAGCTCTTTCATTCTTCTCCTTCACCCTCATCAAGAAGCTCTTTGGTTCCTCTTTGCTTTCTGCCATTAGAGTGGTATCATCTGCATATCTGAGGTTGTTGATGTTTCTCCAGCCTATCTTGATTCCAGCTCAGCATTTCTCATGATGTGCTCAGAGTATAGGTTAAACAAACAGGATGACAGCCGACCTCCCTGTCATACTCCCTTCTCGATCTTGAACCAATCAGTTGTTCCATACAGGGTTCTAACTGTTGCTTCTTGACCTGCTTGCAGGTTTCTTAGGAGACAGGTAAGTTGGTCTGATATTCCCATCTCTCTAAGAGCTTTCCACAGTTTGTCATGATCCACATAGCACAAGGCTTTAATGTAGTCAGTGAAACAGATGTTTTTCTGAAATTCCCTTGCTACAGTCCATGGGGTCACAAAGAGTCAGACATGACTGGATGACTGAACAACTAAGGTGATTATCATTCCTATTAGGAAATGCTTAAATAAGTATGTGTATGTATATATTAGAGCTGGTGATTTGGTCTGGTGAGAGATCTGCTGGGTCTTGGGGCAGGACTCTAGGCCAAATGTAGGGATTCTTAAGTCCACATTTCACCTCATATAATGCAATATATAAGCAGAGGTGGGAGCCATTTTTGGATGTCATGATAGAGTTCCTATTCCTGGGGTGAGGAACTGGGACTCGATGACCTGGGCTTACCTGGTGGCTTAGTGAAGAAGTATCTGCCTGCCAAGCAGGAAGTGCAGGTTTGATTCCTGGGTCAGGAAGATCCCCTGGAGAAGGAAATGGCAACCAGCTCCAGTATTCTTGTCTGGGAAATCACATGGACAGAGGAGCCTGACAGGCTAGCAGTCCCTGGGGTCCCAAAGAGTTGGACATGACTTAGTGACTAAACAGCAATGTATATGTTATATATCAACATATTGATAAATTAATATAATTTATGTATATAAATATATATTCATCAGTTCAGTTCAGTTGCTCAGTCTTGTCCGACTCTTTCCAACCCCATGGACTGCAGCACGCCAGACTTCCCTATCCATCACCAACTCCCGGAGCTTATTCAAACTCATGTTTATCAAGTCAGTAATGCCATCCAACCATCTCATCCTCCCTTGTCCCCTTCTCTTCCTGCCTTCAGTCTTTNTAAGCACAGTGACAATATACAGCCTTGACGTACTCCTTTCCCTATTTGGAACCAGTCCATTGTTCCATGTCCAGTTCTAACTCTTGCTTCTTGACCTGCAAACAGGTTTCTCAGGAGGCAGGTAAGATGGTCTGGTATTCCCATCTGTTTAAGAATTTTCCACAATTTGTTGTGATCCACACAGTCAAAGGCTTTAGCATAATCAGTGAAGCAGAAGTAGATGTTTTTGTGTAATTCCCTTGCTTTTTCTATACTTTTCCATACAAGTAAAACCCCAGGAAAAGAACTAACTGAAGTAAAGATTAGCAAATCTACTTACAAAATGTTTCTATTCATGAATGAAATGATTTTTCATATAGAAAATCCCAAAGATTCTATAAAATACTGACAAAACAGATACTAGAACTAATAAGAGAAGTTGTAAAGCCACAAGATACATAGTATACAAAAATAAATTGGATAAACATTTTATAGAAATTAATGATTAGA